AAGGTTATGTATCACAAAGAAAATATCACCTCCCTTGCTTGGGAAAGATGCCTATAACTGAACAGGTCTCACAACTAACTAGGTTCTCATGGGTAGAAAAGGAACCAAAACCCAAAAGAGAACACACCAAGGAGCTACTGCAGCTCTGAGTGCTTTGTTTTTAACACTTTGCCTTAGAAGTACTTGAAAGAACGCTATAAGGAGATGGAAGCCTTATCACTTGTGAAAGGCCAAATATGTGATATTTTTGAAGTACTGCTGTATAACACTTAGAAGTCATTTTTAAAGTCAAGAGCTTCCCTACTATATAGCCTGGGATCCATCATCTCCATCAACAGTTAATGTTTACCTGCTTTTTCTACACTTACCTTTTCCCCTTCTAGGTGCTTGAGCTGCATGGTAGGTATCAGCACTTGATTAAAAGAGCATTGCCAAGAATTGTAATTTAGGTACTTTGTGAAAGAATCACAATGCAGCCAATAAGCTCAGTATTACAGGCAGCGGAGTAGCCTCAGGTTCACTCTTCTAATGGAAAGAGTTATATTCTATTTCCTAGATAACCTTAATTTGCCATCTGAACTGAATTAATTCATTAGTTAAATCAGTGCTTAGCACCATTTGTTACCTTTAAGTAGCATCACTGAAATTTAAATGAGAAGAATGTGTAAACAGTTAATAAGATGAGACAATAAGAGTCCCATGAAAGAAGCGATACATACTTTGCTACCTGATGAAGGGGGAGAGGGAAGTCTTAGCCCTTTCTCAGCAGCTAATGTCTCCATCCATGTTATATTTGTAAGATCTGCCTTTACTGTATTCTAGGTCTCTTCACCTTTCAAAACATTCTTGAAGGCCAGAATCTCAGCTACAAATAATAGAACAAGATAAAAATAAAATTAAAAAAAAAAATGAAAAGGGAAGTGCGATGTTTTTTAATGTATATATTTCTAATTTGCCTGGGGGTGAGGGGGGGGGCGGGAGGAGGGGGGTATAGAGGGGAAAGGAGAAAGTGAGACAGAACTAAAAGCATCCATGAAGGAATCATTAATTTCAAGAAAATTCTTTGCAGATTAATTTTAAATAAAATATCTCATGTGCACATATCCCGTATTTACTTAGTAAGTAATCACTGAAATCCCTACACATTCGTGCTAGTTATTGGAGAAATTAGACAGAATGCATAGAGAAAATTTCTGAGATACATTTAGGGTTTTCTTTTTCAATAAAATATACCACAAAGGGAATAAAGAAATTCTTTGCCCAAATTAATAGTGAATTATTTTGTCATGAGAATAGAAGTTTATATTCATTTAAATGAAAGCACATAAATTGTTCTTGACAAGAAAAACAAAGCTAGCCTTAGGCAGTATTTTCATTATAGAAAAAGGCACATGTCCATGAATATCTAGTATAATATTAACAAAACCTGTTCAATTAGCTATGCATGTGCCATTGTTATGAATATTTATTTGCATTGCAGCTGAGTAACACTGATACCTTTTTTTTTTCAGCCTGTTTAGAGATAGAAAATGAAGCGAACATTATTGCTGCTCTGCAGAGAGAGCTCAGCCATAAAGCAAACTCTAGACTGCCTTGTATTTTAATGTCAAACTTCTCCAGAAAACCGTTGAGACACAGTACTTCTTTCTGGGACAATCTGCTTTACTGAAGGTTATTTCATTCTTTTTCACATTGCAAATCTACTTGAGGAATTACAATCCATTTAAAAGTAATTCTGATCCAATTGACACCCTAATCTTTTTTTAAAGAAAAGTTATTTATGTAAAAACAACCTGAAAACAACCTGATGCATTTTTTCTTTCCTGAAGCTAATTCACTTGAATTGTGTGTTAATTATGTTGTGCACTTTTTTTTTTTTCCAGAAATATTGTAACATTAATTTTCTGGTAGAAAGCATTGTAAAATAGCAACTTTAAAGAAAGCAAGCTTTATAGGTGTATATATACAGAAGTTATTATACTGATTTCTTAATAGGCTTAAGAATCATTTAGACTATGATTTCAGCACGAATATGATTCAGAATTGAGCATAATTTATTGAGGTCTCCCATCACGATGAAAGTTTGCATATTAAGCATCTAAAATGTACTGCCTGTGAAAACCTGCAGACCAAAGGCCTCCTTTGGTGAAAATATGTTCATGTGATTAAAAATGTTGTTCTATATATGCATAAGGGTATTAGCTGCAGAACTCGCTCTAGGATGAATTTCAGATCATGAATCATTAGAATATTACTCACTACTAGAAACCAAAATTAATTGAATGAATTTGTCAGCTATGATTGTAGACCTTTAACAAAATGCTCAAGAAATGATTACACATGACCTATTAAATTTTTATTTATCCTGGATCTGATACTAGTTTCCTTTCTGCCACTGTAAGGATCTTCCTGAAAATCCACTAAGGTCACTGGGAATCATTTTATGTTGTGGATAAATGCCGGTCACAAAACTATTCCAAGTCAACAATTCTCCACTAAGATACTTCTGAATGATCTGAACGAGAATCAGTTCTGTGAACTGTTTTAGAATCTCTCTCTGCTCTTCTCTAGTCTTTAAATAGGTATTAGTCACGTTATCTTCTCAGCAGCACAATCCTATGGACTACAAGCACATACACATGAACTAGGTCATTCTTACTGTATATTTTGAAAGATACAAAAATGGTAGCAAGAGAAATGCAGCATAAATATATATACAACTGTAATCTAGTAACCAAAGATAAAATAATGTTAATTACACTTCAACCTGGTTTGAGGGAAGCAAACAGGCAAATGTAAAATAAGGACGGTAACAGCTAAGTACATAGAAGAGGATTTTGTACTCACACAGATACTGTTGATTTCTAAATGGGTTCTGCCTGGGCAAAGGGTTTAATTGACTCCCTCTCAGAGCAAGGATTAACTTGAAAATAAGATATTTTTCTGCAGCTGACCATGCATGCATATACAGCCCACCCTCCTTGATAACATGATACTTTGCTAAGTGGCACACTGAGAAAGAAAGTGAAGAAAACTAGAATAAAGTACCATAAAGAAAGACTTTGATAGCAATGTGTAATGAAGATACTGAAAAAAAAAATGTATTTCATCTGATAAGCTGGGTAAGGCATAAATAAATAAATGGGGATTTGGGGATTTATGTGACGTGATCTGGACAGCCTTCAAAATTAAAATATCAACAAATTACTGTTTTGGAGACCACTGCCAAGAAGGATGCACGTTCAAACTTTCGTCATTATTTAGAACACGAGCTGCTTGCATCTTCCTTTGCATGTGTCATACCAAATGTGTAGCACTGCCATCACAAAAGTGATAGGAGTTGTTATTGTAAATGGTATACATTGTGTGCTGGTGATGAAATAGAGAGAGACAAGCACCAGAGAAATTTTGCTGGTAATTTCTTTTGATGAGATACTTGCAACCATAAAAGCAAGAAAAAGACAAGATAATATATGATAGGGTTCTAGGAGAATTAAAAGAAAGAGACTTTTGGTTAAATTAGTCTTTTTTTTCCTGTTTCATTCTGAATGTTACATCTACCCAGACAAATGATGGCATGGTAGCAAAGCGGTAATGATAGCTGTGAAGATGTGGCAGCACAGACCCGAGCATGAACTGTACAAACCCTCTGGGGACCTGGCACAGTGCTGCAGTTGCTGGCACACAATGGATCTGTGCCCAGTGCATTTTTGCTGTTACCTGTACTAGCTAAATTAAAGATAGCATGTATATGTCCCACTGGATTATAATCAAGCAATCATTTGTCTGCACAGACACAAGAGTTGGCTAGGTGCTCAGCACTTCGGCGATGCACGTCACAAATCAGATCAGCAGATATATTCAAGTGACCAAAATCAGACCCAGGATATGAAGTTCAAAACAGATTAGACCTGAAGCACTTACAGTAGTCCCAACAAGGGAGCAGGGCTAGTGGGGCTAGACAAGCCCCAGCAGCCTGTGGCACTATTCTTCTGAGGACCATGGTGACAGAGGAACTAGTAACAATGAAGGAGCATTTAGTCTGAATCAGCAACAAGAGCTTTTCATATAAGGTTACAAAACTTGCCATTTGTGAAGAAAAAGCCTATAAAAAGGTGTTTATTTAGTGTGGGAAAGGTTTAAGACCCAATCAAAAAAAGGAGCTGAGCAGGCAAACCTCAAGCTTAACCTCAACCCTCTGCAGCTTGGAGCTCAGGGGATTTCTGAAGTCATTTTAATTTTATCTGATCTTGTCACTGTAGAGCAGCAACTGTGTTACCCAATGAAAGGAATGGGAAGGTTGGAGGAGCTTTTGTTTATCTTTTAATTTCTCAAACTATAAAATTCTATCAAATTTTATTTTTGCAACCCCTTAAAATGGAAAGATGAATTCTTGATTTGTATGTACTCTGCCTACAGACACCTTCCCTGAGAAATAATCAGCTGCATAATCCAGACACAGCCATTTGCTTTTCCAGTGTTGTCTATCAGAACTTCAGGCATCTGCCTGGGAATTCATGTCAAGAAGAAAACTACTTCTCAGCGCACTAGAAGAGCGTAGGAAGAGATGATCCCACAGTAATTGAAATCAGTGGTATAAAAATTTGCAGGTTTTATATCTAAGAAGTGTTATTTAAATATTTTGCAACTGAAGTCTAAGGTAGCACCAGTTTTCTCTGAAGATGATGAAAAAGTTTTCTTAATTTCTTACTGTTGGTGGCTGAGAGGACCTGTGACTCACCTTAGAAATTTCTTTTCTTATTGAGCACCTTGAACCTCTACTTTCACTAGATATAACATGGTGAAAGCATCTTGAATCCTAAAACTTACAGTAAGAGCAGATGTGGGCATGGCAGCAACCAGACTGAACAGCTTCACCCACAGCTTTCTGGAAGTATTGAGAATAATTCAGCATCAAATGCAGTGCTTGTCTGGGAGAAAGTACTCAGGTAATGATCTGTGCAGTTGACAGTGAAAAAAATAGCTTTAGAGAAAGTAAATGTTGGGTAGAAAAATTAAGTGATGTTTATTATACATGTAAAAATCAAACAGGACACAACAGAAATCTAACACACCAATCTGTTTTTTGGTATTCAGCTCTTACATGAGGAACCTTTAATCTGATTGAACTGGTACAGTAACTGTTTGTTTTTCCTGCCTAGGAGTGCACATGTGTATATAATAGTATGATGGCAACAGTCCAGGCTATTAAATGGAGCAACTACATTCAATAAGAAGCAAACAATGGAATTAAGCCTTCTATCATTTTTTTCTATTAGACCAAAAGTAAAGTTTTCAGGAGAACTAAGTTGGGCACTTAAGCATTAAAAGCCAATAAATGTAACTTAAAATACTGAAGTCCTTTTCTGTGGTTGCTTATGAGACTAAGCCATCCCAGAAGCTGAGGAAAGTCTCCCCTGCTGGATTATTCACTTCCCTTTTCTGCCTTTCACTATAATCCAGTATTTTGAGAGATGAGGGCTGGTTTGAGCAGTTTTCTTTGTTAACCAGGCCCCTAGAATACTTTCAGCATTTGATGTAAAAGAGAGAGTTGCACCTGTAGCACCCACCACAAACAGCCTGCTTTATCACAGGCCAGCAGAATCTTTCTCGGCGTGCTCATGTTACATTTTCTAGCATTTCTTCATGGTCTCAAGCCTGGTCATTCCAGCTGGAAAACAAAAGACTTCTCAATCATCATGCAGTACTAAAATTGTGGCATGTATTTAGATCTTACTCAAGTAGAGTAAACAATAGTTTATAGGCTATATAAGATTGCTAGGAGCTACAACCTTCACCTTATGCTTAAACAGTAGGTAATCTGTTCCATGCTGCTCTGTCCCACCTTATTTTTTCCAAAGGAAAAGGAGAACAAACAAATATTTGGACTACCACAATAGCATTAATAAACATGAGAATGCAACAGCTAGTGTTATTCCACAGAAATGAATGAATAAATAAATAGACTATAAGCACTTTATTCTTCTCACATAATTTCTTCTCAGTGACATTATTGAACAGACTGTTGAAAACAAACATCGTTAAATGAGAAAAGAAGAGCAGGAGCCTGTCTAATTCCCCACTGCAACATTTTCCAATGACGAATGCTCCCTAAATGGATTTAGCTTTTTGAAAAGAAGTCAGAGAGAAATTTGATGTGGCCCCCTGACCCCTGGTAAGCACATGTATCTTCACCTGTCACATAACACACTGGCACTTGCTTACTTTTCAGCAAAGACTATTGATTTTGCTTATTGGCTGCAGGCTAGTCCATAAAGAACAAATTACAAAGTCAGAGGTCTACAGTTAGCAATTGCTTGCATGATAACAGGGAACTCAGCACTATTCCCATAACACAGTATTAACATTCTCACAAATATGTGCGAACCTAAAACATACACTTCTGCTATGAAGTCCTCTCTATTCTCAATGTTACACAGCAAGCAAACTATGCACTACATCCCATATTCTTGCCAGTGATCTAAAACTACAGGGATTTTTTTCCCCATTCCTAATCTATGACTGTAGTTAATTTTCTTTACAAAGAAGTGCGAGAGGGAGAGAGAGGGAGAGGATTAAGCAATGGTTGCATTCTGCTATTATAAAAGGTAAGAGGTTTGACACAACCTAATGTTAATTAGGAATGTCTTTGCAACCAGATTTTATGAAAGAAAAGCCAACGTAGTGATAGAAATGCATGGCTGTGTTACTTCTTGGAAGTTGTAATAAAGTTTACCTTTGTCTCTTTCTTAATAGATGACTTTGGGGGAAAATGCTTTGCTTTCCTGTACCCTGCTTTCGTCTTCTGTAAAATGGGATATAATACCGTCCTCCACTGCTGAAGTGATCTTGAAACCCACTAGGAAGTCCATACAAAAGCCAGCAAAGCCTGGATTTTACTGCTAGAATGGAACAGGTGTAAGGTGTAAATTCTGATGAACATCAAAACTGGGTACTCAAAGTTGATTCTTGAAACCCCACTTCTGCTTATGAATCTTAAATAATATTTGCACAGTATTATAATCATAGTTGTCTTTTAATACGCAGCCATACCAAATGCAAATATATACTGCTCATCTGGTGTACATTTTTTTAGAAGCAAAATCATGAGAACAGCACAGAAGTAGTAGCAGCAGCTGATTTTAACACTGTGTCGGGCTCAAAGTGTGGGATATTATTAGTGACAAGTATCAGGTGGTTTTTATTTTTTAAATTTACTTTCCCAGAAAGAGAATATCACATATATAACAGACTTGTGTTAATCTGTATATGTTTGTGTATATATACATTCATATATTCAGAGAAATACTATGATGAATGTATATACATACATATATGAATTTAAATACATATATACATTCATCTTAGTATTTCTCTGAATGGAAGTTTCCTTGCTTCCTTGAATATTCAAAGATGTTCCTTGTGATAAAAAGTATTGATCCAGCAGGACTAATGTCCTTCAGGAACAATTTCCTTTCCCAGCATATTTGATTGAGAGTAAGAGACTGGGAATTTCAAAGGTAGGTTACAACTGAGCTTTGTTTGAGAAGGCACTCTGACATTTGACAATTGTAACTCAGTTCCCTGCTGAAATCAGAGCTTATCTAGAAAGAACAACAAGCACTTTTGGAAACTCATAGTAAGTGTTGACCTAGTGTGTTTCTGTAACAGACTGTTTTGCTTTGAGTTAACTGATCACTAATTAACTACAAATAGTGAATGCATTTGTGAATACTGGTGCTGACACTTCTGAAGGCTTCTGCTTTATCCTAGGACTTAACATGGTAAGAAACCAGAAGGAGAAACTATACAAAAAGCCTGCCAAAACAAAATAATCTTATAGAGTAATTTGTAGGCCAAACTCAGATCAGTGGTTTCCTACAATATGGACTCTGCATTGGAAATGCACACCCACATGTGTGGGTCAACTGACCCTCAGAAACAGGCAGCAATAACGTCACACCAGACCACAGCAGTCATGATGTAAAGAAATGATGGAACCAGGCTGCCCAGTCAGGACAAGAGGCAATGGGCACAAACTAGAACATAAGAAGTTGTGTCTCAACACCAGGAAGCACTCCAGTGCTGTGCGGGTGACAGAGCACTGGCACAAATTGCCAGAGAGGTTGTGGAGTCACCCTCCTGGAGACCTGAAAAGCTGCCTGGACGTGGTCCTGGGCAATTTACTTACTCTAGGTGTCCCTTCTTGAATAGTGAGGTTGGACCATTGGACCAGAGGTCCAACATTTCTTCCAGCAGTTCAATTTAGATAATTTACATTTTACCTGGTTTATTCATTTTCTCCAAAGGGGAAGTCCTACTCTACATTGCACAAGGATCTCAGGTGCCCTTCTTTTGGTTCAATAGTGAGATTGACGTAAAGGTTAAGTCTTGCAGTGCCTGAAGACTTTTACTGTGCCCAGTCCATAGCCCTAATGGCGACCACATTTCTTCAGAAAGACAGCTTCTGAGCCTTCCCATTAGAAATATATATCTATATCTATCTGCCTGGATGAGAGATATATCACAGATTTGGATGTGTTTATTGAGGTCTACAGCCAAAACAATTCAGTCTTGTGGTAAGCCTGAGGTGGTAACTGATCACTTTGAACACCTAGAGGCAGAAATAGAGAAGTAGTCAATAAGCGTCACAAATTTTAACATTGCATTGGAAGACCTTTCTGTCACCAAAAATTAGATTTCCCTTTCATTTACTTCCTCTGAACTCACTATCATTCCCTATTCAGCCAAATAACAGGATGCCAATATGATACTGTGGAATGAATCTGTCTCTATTGTACAGTTCAAAAAAGTTGAACACGGAGGAGCTGGAGATAGAGAAAGCAACTCTCTCCACTGACAGCTAAAGCAGAAACCCAGTAAGGAGAAGCATGCAGCTTCATATATGAAAGATAGTCTTGAAATATGCTTAATAACAATTGCAAGCTGATATAGTATTTCCAGTTACAGAGAGCAAAGAGGTCCAGTGAGTTGCCCAAAACCTTTTGATTTAAAAAACTATCTTTTCTTCTGCAGAGAGTTTTTCTGGCCTATATCTTCAAGGGTTTGTTATAAGAAAATAGACCATAATAAAAAAAAAAAAGAAAGGAGGCTTTCTTTTGAAATATGGAAATTGAGATTACTATTTCCTCAAGTAGATACAGATTCTAGGGCTATACAAAGACCTACATTATCAGCAGACACTGCAAGGAAACAGGAACATAATGGCCTTTGATCCAGCCAAAGGAAGAGAGATGGCCAAAGAAAGGGAGACTACTTGATATCTTAACCTGCTGTCCTCCTTGGCAAGGCTTTCTAAAAACCACTGGCTGGAGGTGGAAGCTCATAAAGCTCAGCAAGGAATGCTGGCAATTTGATTAAAGGAGAAGAGAATTACCATCATGAAGCATGTGCTGCTCCTTGATATTTTTCCCCTCTTCAACAAAGCTGAGAATTACTTATCCAATTAACTCTGTATGGGATGGAAATTTACAGACATTTAGGAGAGGTTTTCTGTTCTTTTAAATTAATTTTCTAAGTTATAATACCTTTTGGTTGTGTTTGACATTAACATTTCATAGAAAAAAATGAATTTACAGCTAATTACCCTAAAAAAAGAACATTAAGACAAGTAATAAAAGGTGGAATGTATCTGGAAATTATTTCTCCCTTTTAGCCTTATCCAAGGGAACAAAACAAAACTTTTTTTTTTTTTAATCAGTCATCAGGCTGTCATGAATGAACATGGAGAGAAAAACTGAAGGATCTCAATGGATGACAAACCTACTGGCCGCACAAGGCAGGCCCAAAATCTTGGGCTGGAATCTGAACTGAAAAACAGATGATATTTGTTCAGCTCAATGTCAACAAGTGTGTAATTACTTTTTCCCTACAAAGCTTTACTAGATGAAAGTTTTCTAAGACAGAGATAGGATTCATAACTCCTCCTTGCATTTTGTGTAATCATTACTAAGGATATCACTGTAAATTTGACTTTCATTAAAGTTATGGGGACAGTGGACTTTTGACCACAAAGAAAAGCTGACACCGTTTTCAAATAAAGCATCTTTACATCACTAGTAATATTGAAATATTTTACTTTAGTTGGCCAAATCCTGATGCCTCAAGTACTCAAGCAACTTTTTATTTCTTACACCCATTAACCCATTCAAAAGAAGTTGAAATTGCATTTTGCCAATTTGCACTTGTTTAGCTCCAATGTGGCAGGAAGGAAAGAAAAAAAAAATTAAGGAAATCAAGCTTTCTGACCCAAGAGCTCACTCATACATGCATTCATTCATTTGTACTGAAATAATGGTGTGGAGTTTTCCTTTCCATTTCACACTAGCTTCCACAAATGGAAGCAGCACAACTGCTATAAGCAACAGGAATGCACATGTTGTCTTTCTAAGGATGTCATAAACTAGTAAGTCATTTAAAGTATGTAATTACTTAGAATGTATTCTAAAGCTATCACTTACACGGGAAAACCCTGGATTTTATTTTCTGAGCACTGTTCTTTTGGCAACACAAACCTTTTTATAAGCCATTTTTATAAATTAATATTGTTCTGAGTCAAGTGCATGTAGGGCAAATAACCGTCAGCTTTGGATTTGCAGTGAGTTTTGAAGAGATAGCGTTGTGTTAAAAATCAACTGTTCAGCTTAACCGTATCCTCTAAAAGAAGCTCCGAAAAATACCTATGGATACTATAAAATAGATCTGCCTTTCCCCTTCCTAAGCTGAGGCTAAAAATTTTTAGATCTTGCACATAGCAAGTCGATATCTAACCATACCCTAAAAGCTGTGCTTTAAGGACATTACTATGAGTTATGCACAGTTAGAGACAAATTTTGTTTCAGGTAAAAGAAACCATTGCAAATTTATTTCAAGAACTACACGTCAGTGTTACTGTTTAAAATTCAAAGAAGACTTCAGAAAGACTGCTTATCTATTCAAGATGCTTTTAAAGAGAATTCTTACTAAATTCTCTATGTACAAATTGGGAATACATGTACTCTGAATAAAGAAAATTTCATCTGACAAATAAAAAAAGCAAGGGAGAGAGAAAGTACAGGGTGTGCAGCAGAGTCCAAACGTGGAGATCTAGTGCACCTCGTAAAGCCTGACAGCACAGTATGTCAGACAGGGAAAGCCTCAGGTACTACGGCCAAGTTTTGCTTGTTCTCAGAATGTGATTTAGTGCCTCCGAACCACGGAGCTTTGCAGTGCGTGGACATCTCACAGTGTCAAGTGAAGGGAACAGATTTGTCATCGTTCACTGCCAGGAGCAGTCCTGAGCAGGGACATTTTCAGTCTTTGACAATGATTACTGTTACTAATTCTACTGTGAAATATGCAGAGCATCTGCATGGGGACCTCAGCAAAGTGCTGCCAAGACAGCACTTGCTTTGTGCTGTTGGTCCTGGTGTCTGGTTAAGGCGACGATGAGACAGATCGTGTGACTTAAGCCATTGCAAGACCTCATCACTTTTCATGGGAGAACGGAAAAGTGCTGATCCTGAGGCTTTTATGCTGAGGGAAAGCAGATAAAAATCTGCAGGTGTAACTTAAAAAAAACAGTATGAGAAGCATAAAATAGCATAAATAAGGCTGAATTTTCTTAAAAAAAAAAAAAAAAAAAAAAGGCAGAAAACAAAGATCAAGCATGTGATAGTAATTACATAAAAATAAGAACATTGTGATTTAAGCACTGAAGTTTGCATTGCCAATCAAAGTGAACAGCATTTTGATTTCCAGAGTATCTGTTGTTTTTAGGTTAAGACCAATATTGATGCAAACAAGCTAAGATGTATGGATGTAACCATTTATTTTTTCTTTTTCTGATGAAAAGGAACTAGAAATAATTGACTGTAACTTTGCCTGGCTCCATCTCTGGAGA